GTCACCGATGCCCAGAGCATACTTAAATTATGGAGGGAACACTTCTCCAGCCTGCTGAATGGCAGTGAACGCACAACGCCAGGAGAAGGCGAACCCGATTACCCAATCGATGACGATGGAGCAGACGTTCCATTGCCCGACCAGGAAGAAGTTCGAATAGTAATTACCCGCCTGAAGAACGACAAACCGGCGGTTGTCGATGGATTGCCGGCCGAGCTATTCAAAAACGGCGGCGGTAAGGAGCATGCATCAGCTTCTTTGTAAAATATGATCGGGCGAAAACATGCCCAGCGATTGGAATTTACGTATGCTATGCTCAATCCATAAAAAAGGAGACCCAACAATCTGCACCAACTACCGTGGGATAAGCCTTCTCAACATCGCATATAAGGCTCTATCGAGCGTATCGTGTGAAAGATTAAAGCCCACTATCAACAAACTGATTGGACCTTATCAGTGTGGCCTGGAAAATCAACAACCGACCAGATATTCACCATGCGCCAAATCGTGGAAAAGACCCGTAAAGGAGAATGGACACACCACCTCTTCGTCGATTTTAAGGCTCCTTTCGACAGCACGAAAAGGAGCTGCCTTTACACCGCGCTGTCTGAATTTGGTATCCCCGTAAAACTAATACGGCTGTGTAAGCTGACGTTGAGCGAATCAGTTTTGGGAACACGATTGCCAACGAAACGGATCTGCTTTTTTTTAAAGAGAACTTTCGCATGGACCGAAGTTCTTTTGATAAATTACGTGAAACCGCCCTTTACAAAAAAAATTACCGAAGAGCTATTCCTATCGAAAACAGAGTGGCTATAACATTATTTGCTTTAGGGTCATCTGCAGAGTATCGAAGTATCGCCAACATGTTCGGTGTAGAAAAATCTACGGTTTGCGAAATTTTATTGGAATTTTGCACCGTAATCTGGAGATTACTGCAGCCATCCTGTCTTAAAATGTTGCCTCTAAACAGATAAAATATAACCGAATTGGTGACTGATTTCGAGGTAATTGGATTCCCACAATGCTTAGGAGCAATTGGTAAATATTGGTTATAAAATCTTAAATTTGCGCTAATGTTCTAATAATTGTTTACAGACGGATGCCACATTGTATAATTATAAAGGATGGTATTCCACCGTTTTAATGGCATTAGTTGATGCTAAGTAAAGTCAAAAAACTCAATATACACAGAAGCACATAAGTAATGTTTACAATGTATTTTCAGATACCGTTTTACTTACGTAAACGTAGGAAATCACGGGCGATGTAATGACTCTCAAATTTATGAGACGTCATCACTTAAGAAAGAACTGGATAGTTGTCCTTTACTAAGCGAAATGTCTAGAGAAATTTCAGGCGTAAATGTGCCAGTATTCATTATTGAGGATTCGGCTTTTCGATTTAGCAAACAACTAATAAAACCGTATCCATTTAGCGTAAATCAAAATGATGGTGAGAAGGTATTCAACTACGCTCTTTCGAAAACAAGTAGAGTTATCGAAAATGCTTTTGGACACCTCAAGGCCCGCTTTCGACGCATCGGAAAAGGAATTTACAACTCTGTACGAAATGCCAACTCCATAATAAAAGCATGTTGCGTCCTTCATAATTTTTTAAATGATAACAAAGACACGCTAAACGCTAAATGGTTACGCCTTTGGAAGAGTTGGAGACTAGACGTCAGGATCCGTGTGATATTTCATATGCATCCGACGACCCAATTAATGGGGAAAGGATTCGGACAGCACTTTGTACATATTTTGGTAAGTATATGTGTATATGGTATCACAATGTCTACATTTTGCACCATTACATTTACATTAAATCAAAGATAAAGTTGTACACACCAAACAATATTTAATTTTATTTTCAATATATTATTTTCCATATAAAAACTCAACGTTAAACATTTTCAAAATATAAAATATATTAATTTATTATTTTTATTTATTTAGAAACTCCAGTAATCGTTTATTAGTTTCCTTAGAGTATTTCATATACTCTTCCATCTTTGCGGTTTTTTTGTTGTCGTTTTCAACCATTTTTTTTTTGTCAAGTCCATAATTTCTTTGTTGCTTTCAATGGATTCTTGACTTACTTTCTCCAGCTGTTTTTCAATTTTTTCAAATGTTTTTAATATAATGCTCTGAAAATTATTTCTTCTTTTATTATCAGAATCACTCGGCTCGGGAGACGGTACTGGCAGCGAAGAAGTATCGGTTGGCGACATCGGCATCGCTGAGGGCGATGGTAGGCATACCGGTGATGACAATGGAGATGCAGCAACAAATGTACAAGACGCAGCCGTTTTCACAGAAATTTGGAGTGGATCGGAGTTAGTAGAGCCTTTTTAAAAATGTATATATGTGTCTAAATATAAATCATATATTAAATTACAAACAAATGTTTCTTACTTTGAAAACTTTCCTCCATTAAGCTCTGGGCGTTGTAGCTGACGTACGGCAACAGTACGGCTCTCATTTTATCATAAAGCGGCCACTGCGAGGGAGAACCGCCTGTTGACAAGACTGCTGTCTTCTCTTTCCTGTAAAACATGATATATATGTAAAAACTCTATTTCTCCTTAATTTTATTTAAGTACATACCTATATCTCCGTGAAAGATTGTGCATTTTCGATTTAATTTCTGCCGCTGTGAAATGCACACCTTGTTGCTGCAACTCCATTGCCATTTCCTCCAATATGTGGTTGTTTTTTCTAGGACCGCGAAAAGCACTTATTTTGGTCTGCCACAATTCAATTAGTAGGGTTTCTGCCCTATCACTCCAACAACTTTTTTTATATTTTTGCTTTTCCATTTTTGAAATTAATACCAAGTGACAGCTGTATTTTTGTATGGAATGTAAACAAATATCAAGTGACAATTTAGGGCCGGCAAAATATGTCTTCCAAAAAAATCGATTAAACTAGAGCAGGCAAAGATTATAATGAATGGAATGTAAGTTTTCAAGTAGTTTTCAGCGAAAACTGTGTTTTCGTTTGACAGATTTTACATAGACGAAAACACAAGTTTTCTTGCAAAAACCAGTTTTCCCACGAAAACATGTTTTCGTTGTCGGTCCGAACATAGTATTACAGAAAACCTCTCAAATCACCAAAACCTAACAAGACAACCAAGAAAAGTAAGTACTTTCGCAAATCTATTAAATTTGGTGCATATATAATATAAGAATTTAATTTTTTTAGGATTTAAAGATATGAAGGACAAACTTAGGAGTAGCTGCAACATGACACCACATTTTTAAATATAAATATATATTAGTACACATGCATACATGTATACATACATATTTACAAATAAATTTTTTCCAAATTATTTTAACATAAATAAGTATATGCCTTTTTATTTATACTCAGATAGAAGTAAAATGTGCAAAGACCGTAAGTTACACATTTATTCTAATAGGCAAATACTTATATTTATAATAGATGACGCCTTTAGAATATTTACTTAATTCTATTTCAATAAAATAATTGAATATTTGGGTAAATTTTGGAATAGCATTTACTTTACGTATAGATAGAGGAGGTCCTCCAGATCAAGAAAAAAAATATATATATAGTTGCCGCTGACTTATGGTTTTAAAGATATATTAAATACATACTTATACAATACTCATAAACACATCCTTAAAGTTAAAAAATTCAATTGTTTAAAATACGTGTTTGTTTCATTTATAATGACCATTTATTTTATATTAAGTGGTGCAAAAATACCGTTTATTCAACATTAAACTTGTTCAATTATTTTTGTTCACAGAATAACCAAAGGGTTACATTTAACTAATAATCAGTGCTTAATTACGTTCATATTTTACAGAAGAACCAAGAGAAATGAAGAAAACAAATAATACCTCAATGAGAGGAAATAAATACATGCATTGACGGCCTTCGGCCACGTTTCAAAAAAATAACCCTGGCCGATCCAACACCGAAGTTTATCAAGATAATGATAATTTATAATTTTTACATTACTTATCACACGATAATGAATTTAGTATTGACGTCATAATACCTCTTTTTTGTTATTTTCTCCATTATGAATAAATGGATTTCAACTAAAGTTTGATATGGAATTAAAGTTATTTTTGCACTATTTAATATAAAATAAATTATTGGAAACGAATTAGTGAAGTGTTAGTGGAAATAAAAGCTAAAAATTTAAGTAAAACTTGAATTATGAATCGGAAAAACACGCATTTAAAATAGTTGATTTTTTTTAAACTTCAAATGCAAATAATATGTCTCAAAAAATATATATCAGCGGCAACTGTATATATATACACATATATATATATATATTGTTGATCTGGAGGACCATCTCTATCCGTACATACCCTATTTGGGTTGTGTTTAGTATCGCGCCGGTTAATTTTGGCTCACCGTACCTAAACGAGAGAACTAAATTGAAAATTTTGAACACGCATGTATGCTTAAATTATCGAACTTTATTTGAAATATATTTTATAAAAATCGGTTCACAAATTTTTCCACAAATTCACTTTAAAAAATGCAATTTTTTTGCAAATTTCTAAATATGTGCTAGTGTATTTTCATCTGTTATGCATTGTACCAAACCAATTATGGATACATTTTCACGCACATATATTACTTATGAATTATAAAAACCACTAGTAATGTTTTTAATTACTTTTGATTGKTMATTTCTTTGTAAATCTTTAAATAAAATACAAATTTTTCTGCATTGAGTTCAATAATGCGAAAAACCAAAATGACTGCCTAATTTGAACTGTCAAATTACCGAGAAAGCACGAACTAAAGGGAATAAATTAAACCCACTTAGCAATAAATGTATGAAGTGAACGCGAAAATGTGTTCAATGCTAAAATACTGTGGATTTCGTAGCCGGTGTTGGACCGGCCAGGGTTATTTTTTTAAAGCGAAGCCGAAGGCCGCCAGTACAGAAAGGAGTTCTACGCGAAAGAGCCCTCAACACGCCGGTGTTGGATCGACCAGGGTTATATTTTTGAAGCGAAGCCGAAGGCCGTGTATACATGGCACAAGGTATATACATAATTAATTGCTTCTATTAAACATTCAAAGGCATCTTTTCCTTGTTTTTGAATCGATCGCCGCCACATATGTTCGACGATGACGTCGGCAAAGTTGGCGGTGTAATTATAGTTGTCTTTGTAAAAGAAACGTTTCACTACGCGCCATTGCGACTCAATCCGCTGCGTATGAATACCATCTTCGGAAACGAAAGGGTTGGTTTGTAAAATAATGCTTTATCGGGATTTCCTCCACAGTATTTTAGCATTTCATTCCTTTCGTACTGGCGGCCTTCGGCCGCGCTTTAAAAAAATAACCCTGGCCRGTCCAACACCGGCTACGCCATCCACAGTATTTTAGCATTGAACACCTTTTCCTCCACAGTATTTTAGCATTTCATTCCTTTCTGCATTGGCGGCCTTCGGCCGCGCTTTAAAAAAATAACCCGGGCCGGTCCAACGCCGGCTACGCCATCTACAGTTATTTTAGCATTGAACACCTTTTCGTGTTCACTTCATAGATTTATTGCTAAGTGGGTTTAATCTATTCCCTTTTGTTCGTGCTTTCTCGGTAATTTGACAGCTCAAATTAGGCAGTCATTTTGGTTTTTCGCATTATTGAACTCAATGCAGAAAAATTTGTATTTTATTTAAAGATTTACAAAGAAATTACCAATCAAAAGTAATTAAAAACATTACTAGTGGTTTTTATAATTCATAAGTAATATATGCGCGTGAAAACGTATCCATAATTGGTTTGGTACAATGCACAACAGATGAAAATACACTAGCACATATTTAGAAATTTGCAAAAAAATAGCATTTTTTAAAGTGAATTTGTGGAAAAATTTGTGAACCGATTTTTATAAAATATATTTTAAAACAAAGTTCGATAATTTAAGCATACATGCGTGTTTAAAATTTTCCATTTGGTTCTCTCGGTTGTGTACATTGAGCCAAAATTAACCGGCGCGATACTAAACTCAACCCTTTTTCTAAATAAAGGATACTTAACCGGCGCGATACTAAACAGTTCCCCCTATTTAACCGCGAAATCGGGGAATGCTATTCTAAATCGCAGTGGAATTTTTTCTAAACATTGAAATTAACGAAAAAAAAACAGTTGAACACAAGAACCTCATGTGAGGAACACAATGCTCGCGACAGACTGCAGCAGCACGACAGTGAACTGAAAACGGCGTTGTGAATCCTACTACATGAACGTTAGTGAGAGGGGAGCAACATAACTATGGCCGGCATGTACACAAAACAACGCTGTTGTAAATTTTGCATGTACAGTATTTCGTTGTGGCCATACTAATACCTTGCACTTCAATGAAATTTTAATATTTTGTTCAAAGTGATATTTTTAAGCAAAATATAAGTAAATATTTTATTTGTTTTAAATTATCAATTGTTATTATAAATGATGTAACAGAGCTATTTTATACTTTTATTTGTAAAATAACGTCRGGTTTGTTAGAGCTTTGAGTAATATTACATTTTAYATATTAGTGSCATCACCACTCTACCTCATCTCTCTATCTTCCATTCTACTGTCAACTCTACTGTCGTTGGCAAATATAGGATAAAATTGAAGTTAGCGAGAACGACAACTGTCGGCCTACCGTCTTGTAGTCGTACAGCTGTCAATATAGGTCCATCCATAACAACGTGTGTATTTTAATATTTGACAGATGTCGTTTGCAGTGTGTCGCGAGCATTGTATTCCACACATCACAATATTGAGGGAGGTAATTTTTTGATGACATAAGACTAGGGCTGACAGATTAATGGTAATCGATAAATAACCAAATCGATTGAAAAGAGTCTTTCTTGTCGTATGTGCATTTGGGTTGTTTTCCATCAAAGTACTTGTTTAAAGATTGTAAAGCAACAATTTTCGTGGATGTGTCTAAAAATTGTATTGAATCTTATCGACATATCCTATACAAGTGTACAGAGCCAAAATCTATTGAATATTAGTTATTTTATAGACCGTCGGTATGTCAATAGGAATATATTAACTAACTCTAGCGTGTGGCTTGTTTTTAGTGTACCACACCCCCCACAACATTTCATTTCGATTGTTTTATTTTACTGCCGGAATTACCTTTTTCCATCTGCTACTACATGGTTCTATAAAGTAGCTAAATGTATTTATCTAAGATTTAGTACAAGAAATTCTGATATGGAAGGAAAAAATTAAAAAAAAGACATTAAACGAATTTTTGTTTTGTTTCGCGTAAATTGGACGTTTAGTTAAATTACTCATTTAAAATATCTTAAGTAACGTTATTCAATTACTACTAAGTGGGCAACATAACGAAACGTGGACACATGTTCAGATATACATATATACCAATTCAAGAAGTAATATTTCATTTTCAAAATAAGCAAGAACAAGAATTGGGGTATGTTATTTTGCAAATATTGTTGTGGAATTTCTACATAGCTATAGTTATCATTATTTAACTTTTTTTGTATAGCTTATTCCCTTTTACGGCATCAATCAAATTTCATCAAATGTGTAGCGAAATATTCTGAACTCGATAAATTTTCATATCAAATATTTCTTTGACATGCTCATTGCATTCATAAACATTAAGGTAATTACTTTGATCATATAGATATATACTATTTTGTGACATTATTAGGCTTTAAGTTATCTACGTGGGTGTTAACAAAAAGTATATGATTTCGTTAATATTTGAAATTCTCTAAAGTATATTGTTAATGAATGTTCAACTATACGTGACATTCGATCATTAGAGGTCGATTGTTACTTCATCCCGGATTAGGAATCCTGGGAAATGAATGATGTTTTACATTTCACTCAAAGTAAACATATGATCTTCATATACTCATTCTTCTTGTGCTGTTGTTGAGCGAGAAAGCAGTTAAAGTTGAATCGATTATATGGATATTATTAAAAAATTATTTAATTAGGTCAAACTCGGGTGTATACATTATCCCTCATTCATCCAAATACCATAAGATTTTGCAAATTAAATTTAATAGATTTTTAGGGTGTATGGTTGAAGTGATAAATTATAAAATAATATCCCGTTCTTCAATTCAACTATACAAGAAAATAAATAATAAAAATATATGGTGAAATAGTCAGTTATTGAATTCGTTTATTCTGAAAAGTCAGTTTTTTTTAAACATCTACAAATAAATTCGATGATTAATTCTTCTAAAGCTATACATTTTTTTAATTAAAATTACTTTAAAGCATTTATAATTTGATATGGATAGAAGTGTGGACTCAATTGGCAGCTGCTCTCTTGACGTCGACGCTGATTCTACGGACGTGTCAGGTACAGTTATAAATATTTACAATACATTAGTTCAGTTAAATAAGGTAGAGTTCGATCCTTTAAAAACTTAAATATGTTTTGAATAACTTTAATATTCTAGATACAAGTGGGAGTTTAAATTTTCCAACACCGATTTCTATTAAAGACATAACCACAGAATTCACCACAAATATACGAGAGCGATGTTCGGTTCAGACTTTTCATGAAATCAACAAGAATTTTATGGGTCTTGAGTCGCAAATGGTGTTGAAACAACCTCTTACAAAAGTCAACACAACATGTGCCTTATTAAATTCATCCAATCCGAATTCGAATAAAATCACTGTTCAGACAGATTCAAGTTCAGACAAAAAGCCAAGTTATCTGAATCTGGCTTGTTGTGTGAACGGATATTCTAATCTTACAACTTATGATTCGAAAATACGACAAGATATAAATAAATCACGCGAGGTGTCCCCCATCCGCCCGTCGTCAAATAGCATTCAGTATTGTAAAAAAAGCAATTCATTGGCTCCACCAATATTATTACAAATGGCTGATGGTAAAGGTGACGTTTCTAATATGAAACTTACGGCAACTAATGGGCATTCTAATAATTTCGTGTCTAATAACGCTGAAAATAATGAACACTGTGATTTACAATGGCAGGAGGATATTCGCAATACTAGCTTTATTCAACAGCGAGTGGAACGGTTGTATGGACCTGCTGCGTTAGCACAAGGTTTTTATAGTCCAAAAAAAGTACGTAGCACTTTCGTTTGTACGAACCCACGGGAACGCGATGATGCTGGTTCATCAGAACTTGCAAGAAAATTTCAACAACTTACTCCAAGTAAAGATTATTCCGAGTTCAGGAAAAAGTTAAATGCAACTATAACAAATTCTCCTCGGCAAGTTATTTCAGCAACCGAAACTTCAACCTTTAATAATAACACTGTTGATTTACCTGTATTACGCCATTTAAGCCAAGAGTTTCGTGCTCAGTTACCCATAATTTCGCCTAAAAAAAACCGTGCAAGAATTTCTTTTCAAAAGAACTTAAGTTCGGAAAATGAAACAACAGAGACGGTAGAAGTATTAATAGATGAAGTGGATCGTAAAGAAATTCCGAAATCTATATATGGAATAAGTAATGAACATTCAGAAAATAAAGACAATATGCAATACAAAATTGCGGTAAAATCCAATTTAAATGATCCAACAATAGAATGCTTACAGAAAGATGGCAATTACTTTCTTCATTTGCTGAAAAACGAACAGAGTAGACTTTTAGCTTTGGCTGATAAGGCAGAACGATATGCTGAAGAATTGTCTGTAAGTATATTTAATTTCGTCCTGTTATTTTATTATTATTTCAATTAATTGTATGGAACACAATGTATTAGTATTTCTATTCGTCACTTGGTATTTTTTTTTTTTTTTTTGAGTTTATATTCTATGTATTGTATTGCTTGGATATCTTTTATCAGGAAATGCTAAATGTTTATGTTTAGTAGAGATCATCCATTCCCACGACATTCGGGTCTAAGTAATCAGACCCGGATATTTGAATGTTTTGTGATGCTGAACTGACACTTTTCTGCCTACTTTATTTTAACCAAAACCTACTATGAGAAGATTCTAAAACATTTAGTTTACCATACGATGAAAACTGCATATATTCACACACTGAAGCATTGTATTAGTAGTCATTCGACTTTGTCGGTTGCGGCTTAGTATTATATATGCTTGTGTTTTCTCTGAGAAAAAACTTAAATTTCATCATACACTTAAAATATATACGCTCTTGTTTTGTTAACATACTATTAATACTTTATAATTTATTTGTATGTATACGATCGTTTTAAATTTTATAATTTACTAAAATTTATCTTAAAAATACGCGTTTTTTAAAAATATTTTATGAAAATGTATTTTTCAAATAATGTTCTTGTTGTTGTTGTAACGGCAGAATTCTGCCGAGTTGACAGTCCTTGGCCGGATAAAAATCCGGGTCCGTTCCGGTTTTCGTAGACCCGACTGTCCTGGAAACGGTTTTCAAATATTAGATGTCTTCGATTCGTCGTTCCTAAGTTATCAAAAAGTGTAAAATATGTATTAATAGAGGACCCGTTCACGCTTTACTGTGGCTGACACATATTGTAGATAATACTAGCACTACCATCTATATAATTTCTACTAGTTAAATTATAACTAATAGTTATATAGTATTTCTGTGAAGCATTTCGTGTTAGTTTACAAAAAAAAAGGATCATAAAGCAATTCGTGTGTTAATAAAGCATTGCTTTTTGGGGGAAATATTACTGAAATTGGGCTCTGCACCAGGGAAATCAAAGAATTGCTGATTCTGAGTACTCTTTAATCGAAATAAAACCGAATATATGCATCGGTGTGTGACAATGGAAACATGGTTCCATCATTTCCCACTGAATCGAATCAACAGTCATTCTAGTAGACTGCAGATGATGAACCGTTTCTCAAAGGTGGAAAGACAAAAAAGTCGGCTGGCCAGATTATGACATCAGTTTTAAGGGATGTACGTGCTATAATATTCATCGACTGGTTACTGAGCCAGTTATAATCCATTGCACTGCGTATTTGGTTGCAGTTCTTTTCTATTATTCTAAATATTTAGCAATTGTATTATTCAGTTCGTTTTGAAAGTGAACGCATATACTTGTACTATGGTACTCAAAAATAACAGCATTTCTCCACTGTTTATTAGACATTATATAACGACGTTATATAAACAAGCTTCCTCTTCAACCACTCTATCTGTTAAATAACCGCATCAAAATCCGTTGAGTAGTTTTAAAGATTTAAGCATACATATGTAGGGTAATAGGGGCAGAAAAATCAAATTTCTTTTATACTATGTATTGAAGAACTAGCAATGTTTTGCTAATATGATTAAACAATAAACAATATTTATAATGCTACCTAAGGGCTCTATTATTATAAGTTGGTAGTTAAGAAATATTTTATTTTTCATTTTTCTCGAAGAAAATGTTGTTCAGAAGAACTATAAGCTAAAAATATGTTTTCAGACTGTATAGAAAATTGGTTTAAGTAATTTAATTTTTATCACGAACACATTTTGTATCGGCCGACGTTTTTTTTTTTTAATGCAAAATTCGCTCAAAAATCACATATGTAGATGTCATGTTATGATTAAACTATTTGTGCCTAAAATATCCTTGAATTCTTAAATTGTTTTTAGTTCGCCTCAAATTTTAATTATATCAGTGAATTTTACTCAGCTCGAAAATTCAAAACTTTTGCCATTTATCTAACAGTATTGAATGTTTTCAGGACAACTCCGGCGTTTCAGAGGACACTTTAGGCTTCTTGCGTTCCGCTTATGGCAAAGCTCGATTGCTGGTGTCACAAAAGATGAAGCAATTTGAAGGTAAATTAATTTTTTTCAACAATTTAATTTTTTTAGTACTAGACTTTGCTTACGCTTAATAAGTAGAAGTGAAATATCGGAACTTATTAATGAATTGGGGAAATGGAATATTGTGGAAACTCATTTTTGCTGCATGCGAGTCCACAGTAATAATACCTTATCGTTTATATCCTTCGAAGTGTCATTTAGTAGAATTTAAATACTATAGTTACTCTACAATCAGCGAATTTTCATAAGAAAATATTTGTACTGATAGAGCTAACAAAAACTGAACAAAGTAGGATATAAGATCACAATTTATAAGGTTAAGGTTAAAAGCGTGGTTCGAGATGTTATCCAGTTGAATATATAATTTGTTTAATATCTACTTAATGATGACACAAATAGCGTTTCAAATACGTTGTTAGATGAGTTGGTTTGAGAGAGCGTGCAAGGAGGTGGTGGAGGTGGCGTACCTGCTTTGTTTCAAGCAAACACCTACTGTATTGATTTGACCGAAAGTCATTTTGCAGACACTGCTTGGAGATTGTGTGCTATTTTTCTAAACTGGCGCACCAAGTATTGTGAAAAGTGCACTCACAGGTCATCAGGAGCCATATTGTAACATTCCAAAGTGCGGTGTTCGTGCAGATTTTAACCTGTGTCTTTTCTTTAATTGTGCTGCCAAACACGTCTTTGAGGATTTTAACATATGAATGCAACATATTGAAACGTTACTAAGAGAGTTTATGGATTGGTGACTGACGTGACTTAAGTTTAGTTCGGTATTTTTCCGTCTGTTCTTTTATTAAGAAATATTGTTTATCCATGGCTCAGTGGAGAGAATATATATTTCGTTATATATATATGACAAGACGACCAATAAGTTATTAGAAAGAAAAAAGAAATATTGCATTAAAAATTTTTTTATATGTTTCGTTTGAAATTATTTATTTATATAGCTTTCAGTAAACGAAACCTTGTTTTGTTAACATATATGTATATACTACATTGTAGGCCTTTGTCATAATAATTTGAATTCATCGCCAAAAGACAAATTCCCAACTACAAATGATGATCTGCAAGGATTTTGGGACATGGTGAATTTGCAAGTCGATCATATCAATTCTATATTTGATGAAATAGAAGTATTAAGACAAAACAATTGGAAGGTACAAAAATAAAATCCTTATTCTAATATATCTAATTAAATACATATATTTCTAGAAACCGGCGGAAATTCCACATAGTGAATCCAACAAAATATTCAAAATACAACCAAAAACTATAAAGACTGTCAACCAAAAGACAAAATCTACTATATCTAATGGAAATGACTCGAAAACAAAATCAGTCCCATCGGCCGCGGCTTTGAAACGTGAATCTCAAAGAAAGATGCTCATGGAAATGAAACGAAAAAATAAAATCGCAATGACAGCTAAATCAACAATATCGGTTCGAGATTCTGCTGAGCCACTTGTTGAAAATGTAGACCCGCTAGAAACCGTTGAGATATTTGTCAAACACAGTAATTGAGAGTTCGTTAATGAGTGCTTTGGCCTTACTAAACTGTACTAGTCCTCTAACAAAATCGAATGATAGATATGCTTCATGTCATACATATTCTATAAATCTTTCGCTTCGACTAATTCTCGTTTCATATACAATTGATAAGAGTTATATACTACACCAATAATACTCGTTTTGCAGGCTAATCGTTTAAATAAAGCAGTGTGCTGTTAAAAAAAAAATTAAGCAATTTATATACATATGTGCTCATTTTAGGGATTCTAAATCTGTTATATGAAAAATGCAATATGAATCATTTACTTCATTTTCGCTTTAAAATATATTGGAATTGAGCCAAATTCATAGTTTTCAATTTAGTTAAATTATATTTACTGTTACTAGCTTAAAACTATGAAAAAATGTTGGAATTGGTTGACATCTTGAATACGCACTGTACATACAATTTTGATATTTTTATATTAATTAATTTACCATATGAATTTTGCGTGATTGTCACAGAATATTTAACACAAAAATACATTTATTTTATGAAAATTTTAAATGTATTATAATAATTTTATTTGTTAATGTCTACTGGTTTAATGTGGAAACAAATTGCAAATGCTATAAGATAAGTTTGTTGATTGTCGACCGAATTTCGGTTTTTTATGACTGCTTTGGTTTTTAATGACACGAAGATAGTCGGTCATATTACCGCTGTCGTTATTGCTTTAAAGTGCCGAGCACATAGAACGCGACAGACTGCAAGCAACATCTGTCAAAAATAAAAATACAAGTAAGATTTTGCGATTTCGCGATTTATTATAATTTATATAAATACCTAATAATTATAATAGTATATTAATAACTATCGGACTTCCCGTCCGGCCCGGTCGGCGTCAAATATATATCTTCTAATGTCATATTTACAGACACGTTACATCAAAGCCTTTCTTCAGAGATAATGAGATGTTTAACTCCTCTCTCACCGGAAGTGAGAGAACAATTGCTAAACGTCAAAACCACCTAAAATTTGACAGTTGATCGAGTTCAGGAGGTTTTGACGTTTAACAATTGGAAACGAGCGATGGCCAGATTGAAATCTTAGCGAAAAAATACGTAAGCGGAGGGATTTGTTGCATCGTTCAATACCACTTGTAAAAAATGTAAAACAATGAAAATTAAATAAATTTGTGAAATTTAAAGGTTTTGTAATTTGAAGCATCATAGTATTATTTTCTATGGAAAATGATTAAAAACATTTAATGATTGAGAGCTAACAACCTTAAATCCTTTTATTGGGTATTGAAAGGTCAAAAGTCAGTTGTTCTAAATAAATAACCACTATATAATAATTTTTATTCGTACTAAATGTTGGTTGTTTTAATTTAAATGCCCAAAAATGTTTATTTTGTCCAATCTGGCCATAATGGAAAATGTTATAAAAAACGCTAATTTTGAGGTGCTCTCACACTGGAATAATTTGAACATCCCTTTATTCCTGCCTTTCTTGTTGCTTAATTATGATGCGTGGAACACAATGCTAGCGACAGACTGCAGCAGCACGACTGAACTGAAAATGGCGTTTTGAATCCTACTACAAGAACGTTTATGAGAGGGCACCAACATAACAATAGCCGGAATGTACGCAAAACAACCCAGTTGTCCATTTTGCATGTACACAATTTCGTTGTGGCCATACTAAAAGAAATTTTAATATTTTGTTCAAAGTGAAATTTTTAAGCAAAAACTAAGTAAATAGGTAAATTTATTTGTTTTAAATTATCAATTGTTATTATAAATGATGTAACACAACTATTTATGCTGTTATTTGTAAAATAACGTCAGGTTTGTTAGAGCTTAGAGTAATTGGATGTTTTAGTGATATTTGCAAAAAAAAAAAATAAATCCGAAATTACGGAAGCGTATTACGTAAAAGTTGAAAGGTAAAATTCTTATTTGATGATCCTCAAATATGATAATTAATGAAACATGCAAATTATTTCAATGTTATAACTGTTTTGGAAATTTGGAAAAGGTTTGAGTTGATAGTCGAACATTTATAAAGAAATAGCGCAAAATATGCTTATCTCGGAGAAAATTCGAGTGTCAAGTTAGACTATCTCCATAATAATATGGATATTTTACTGATAATATTGGAAATTATAGTGAGAAACAGGAATAGTTGGTCTAGAAGTGATGGAAGAAAAATATGAGTGTCAATGAGACCGTCACATGATAGCAGAATACTAGTAGCTCTTGAAAAAAAAAAAATTGACGAGTGGAAAATTATAAAAAAAAAAACTCATAAAGGCGTTTTGATGAAATATAACATATGATTTGGACATTCGTCTCTCTGTTATTTTTCAAAATAAAACTAATCCTTATTTTTCAAAATAAAACTAATTTTATAAAAATTTTAGTCATATCTTCTGATTTATGTAAAGTAAAATGAAAATAAAGATTACAAAATAACAGAGAGCAATTCTTAGTAAACCGTTGATAGTTTCATGAACTGTGGGTCCAAATATATCTCAAATTCATCTTAAATCAAAAGCAACAAAACCACAGGAGGCAGTGTTATGTAAATTTTTTTTTTCATTTTGTAAAGGTCTATATTTAAAGTACGAAAATATCTATATAAACAAAATTTTTTCTTCGAATAATCTACTTTGCCAGCAAGCAACTGGAGGTTGCGTTTAATTTCAATATCAGAAGAACACCTATTCTTGGCTACGTCTGAGTACCAAATGAGTGGAAATTTTCCTTCATCCCTAGTTGCGAAATGAAACTTAAGAATCTGTGTTAAATTATTATTTTTTACATTTCCCAAGAACAAGGGAATAAAACTGCTAAGAGAGATGACTTCGGAAAATTTTGAAAATATGTCTCTGCAATCCCACCGTCAGCAAGGCTAAATGGTAACAGGGCAAAGCTTTGTTGAAAGCACGCTCTTCCCGTGCGATCTCTGCAGATCAATTGAGCCAGAAATAGATTCTCTATAAGTTTTTTAAAAAAGCCTCTCAGTTGATACCTTCATGTCGTTTAAAATCTTTGAGTCATCAATTAAAGAAACTTATGACTCATCGCAGCTGCAAACATTTTTGTCTAAAAAGTGTTTCACTAATGCAAAATTGCAGGCTATTACCGACAAATTTGCTGCCCCAAATTTAGAAAAGCTCACTTCTAAGTTCTTAATAATTATTGTATTGTATAATTTTTAACTGCACTTTCAAAAACTGCCAAACATCATGATATTCAACATATTTTAAGAGAACCGCTATTTTGATTAATCAGATGTTAAAGAAATGTTTAAAAAAGATGCTTTTGTCTCATATTAACTGTTAAGTCTTATATTTCTGACTGACAGTCCATGAAAGAACTAATTTATATTTTATTGATTTTCAAAAGTTGTCTCACCCAACCTCAACAAGAAAGCAAATTTAATACAGATGTGATGAACGGATAAAATACCGAGTCGTATTTAAATTATTCTTCAAAAACATTGACGTTGTATGAAAAGTAGGCGTGTTAGGTATATATTATTTCCAGAGTAAAAATGATCTCGAACATTCATTAAGGTATCTCACAGATTTCCGACATTTTCGGTAAAAGGTCATAGGACCAGTACGATACAATTTACTGCTTTAAGTAAATGCAAAATTTCGCCCATTCTAGGCATATTTTGCTTTAGCAACAAAATTTAATTTTTAAATTTTTTGCTTGCATCCTTGGGGAAGCCCGTTTTCACCCATTTTCACATTTGCATAAATCTTGGTCAACTAGTTCGAAAGTTGTAAAACTTATTGTCCCTTATTCATTTATCACATTTAGTGTTATAGCCGAGTTTACGGCTTACGCGATTATTGCCGAGTTTACGACAGCGCAATTTGGCGCCAATTCAGATATCAAGTGCAGCCACCTGATCTCTCCAACGGAGCGGAGGTCAACCTCTTCCTCTGCTTCCACCGGTGGGTACTTCGTCGAAAACTTACACAGCTGGAGCGTTTTCATCCATTCGGACGACACGACCTAGCCTCCATAGCCGCTGTCTTTTAATTCGCTGAACTATGTCAGTCAAATATGACGTCATTGACATGTTTGTAGCTTAAGGACATACTTATTTTTATTAAAAAAAATTTAAGCGTCCGAAAAATATGTGAAAGAAGAAGTTAATGAATGACGATTGTAGCAGCTTAGTGATAGTTCTCAAGTAGAGTCGGTATTACAATTACTGTCATTGAGATCATATCGAGAATGTTTGCAATAAAAAATGACTCGAAAAATGGTATTCATTTTATATAACCCTAAGAATGATCTAAGAAAAAAAAAAAAAAACGGGAACGTAGCATTACTCACTTGAGTTCTGGGTAGTTTTTTGATTTCTCGGTTGTGTTTAGTAACGACATGGTGTGAACTTGATTTGTGACGTTGATTTGCTTTATTATAAGAGTCCTTTTTGCCTTTCTTCAGTTGTTTGAGTTTTCACTATTGCAAGACCGTCTTTAATTTGTGTATTTTAGATACGCGTTGTTTATTGCTTGAGAACTATGTTAACGCTGTACGTTTAAGATGTCTAATATCAATATTCGTCTGAATTCCCACGAGTAGTGTTTTGGATACTTTCTTTGAAAGTATGGATTCCTTTACGATTTCCTCAACTTTTCAAAGGCGTGTGAGCCGACACATAGGCTTTATTTTGTTGTGAAACGATATTATGGATGAATTTCGAAGGACTAGGGTTATGAATGCAGACAAAATCCAATCGAAAATCTTTGCTCTATTGAGTATGACAGTACATTGTTAGTAAGGCCATTCAGAATATATGCTTGAGTCGTTTAATGAATTTAGTTGGCCTTGGATTGATAACTTAGCGGACTGTATTGTACTAGTGTATGTTTGCCGTTTTGTATCTGCCTTTTGCCTGAAGTACCAGTAGCGGTAACAATGGTCGAACTGGGCATTCATGTCGAAGATAGATTCTCTGTGTATCTATGTCTCTTGTGAGATTTTCAATAGAAGTATTTGGTCATGCGATTCTTTTAAAGGAACTGTGGGACGGTATTGCAAGCTCCTTTCGTATAGCTGCAAACGAAACCAGCAAAAGAACAGCTGATATGATCAGGAGTGTCGTGTCGCAGTGGAAAGAAAACAGACTGCCTGCCTCGCAGTGTTCCAATTGACCACAACATGTGTGGGATGGAATAGATACCGAGAGCTGAAGAAGGAAGCGAGGTGATCTATTGACTGATGACCAGAGGATATTGCAATTATAGAGAGAACTCTTTTCTAATCTGTTGAGTGATAGTGAAAGCATAACACCAAGAGATGGTGAACCCGATTCTCCAGTCGATGAGGATGGAATACATAGATGTTCCATTGCCCGGCAATTAAACTATATGGATATTATCAGTGCGGCTTGAGCCTTGAAAATCTATTGCCGACCAGATTATCATCAACCGCCAAAACTTGGAAAAGACTAGTGAGAGGAAGATCGACACACATCATCTCTTCGGCGACTTTTTATCGTGTGACTTTTTCAATATATTGCTGAAGAAAATA